CCCAAAATACTCAGAGAGCCACATGTAAAAAATGAAACCTTCTAAGTACTAGAGGGGATATACAGATGAGTCCCTATATCATCTGAGTTTGGAAAAGAGCTATCTAACTATATGATCCACAAGCCAGAACCAAAAAAGAAAAAAGGAATAAATAGGACTACTACATAAACCACCATCTTAGGCAAAGTCAAAAAACAACATACTGGGAGAAAATATTTTTAACATGTAATCATATATATAAAGAACTTTTGAAAAAGGACCAAAAATCCTATAGGGAAAAGGCAAAAGGCATGAACACCCAATCCACACATGTACAGATACTGAAATGACCTTTAAGCTTATGAAAGATGTTCATGTCAGTCATAAAAATGAGATATGTAAATTAAAACCATCATTTCTCACCTATCACATAATTAAAAAGTATGACAACACATTTTGATGGTGAGGCTATGGAGAAAGAGGCACTCACGATAGTAGTATGAGTGGGCCCTGGCGTTATGGAGGGGAATCCATTATGGAGGGGAATCTGACAATGTTTAACATAACTACATGTGTGTTTATCTTTTCACTTAGAAATCTTGCTTCTAAGAATCTATCTTGGGGGATGCCTGGCTAGCTCAATCGGAATAATACGAGACTCTTCATCTTGGGGTAGTGAGTTCGAGTCTCACACTGGGTGCAGGGATTACTTAAAAAAAAAAAAACTTAAAAAAAAAAATCTATCCTGAAGATACACCTCCATCATCAACAAAATACCTATGCACAATATTACTTATTGTAGTATTGTTGCAGAGCACTGGAAACAACCTAAATACCGACATAAAGGAGTGGCTGAATAAACTATCACACACACAAATGAAGGACTTTTCAGCTATAAAAAGTATGAACAAGATCTCAATGAACTGATAGTGATTTCTGGAATATATTTTAGGTTAAAGAAGCAACATGCAGAAGAGTAATCTAGATCATGTTACCATTTTAAAAAGGGGAGGAGGTTTTGTATACTCAGTAAATGCATGCATATATAAAAGAATGGGAAAGAAAATATGAAAACGGAGTACAATAGGATACAAATAAACATAAGTATGTTTTAATGAATAACCTAACCAATTGCAAGGAGGGGAAGAACTAACTTGACAAACTTTTGAGCATAGGCTGAGGACGAAAGAATTATAGTGATCTCTAGCTGGTAAAGTTTTGTTTGCATTTTTTTGTGGTGGTATGAATTAGTAATTCAAAAGCCATTTTCTGCTAAGATTGAGAAATTAAGTAGACATACTGTAGATAATAAGAATCAGGTGTCTTGGTATTGGGTAAAGGAATTACAAATATGAATATGGAGGCGGCCAGAATAAACTCCATTGTATTACACTGTACTGGGAGGTATGAGTAAGAATTCATTTTTTTATATATGTATATAGCCATGTATATATGGAATTCCAACATCAAAATAATATATATGACAACTAAATGTGACACAGGATTCTGGAATAAATCAATTTTTAAACTTTGTTATAAAGGAGATTATTATATTATTATATATATTATTAAGAGAATTATGGGAAATTGAATAAGGTCCGTAGATAGGTAACTTCTTGATTTTGATGATCACATAAAATAATTCCTTACTTTTTGAAAATACACACCAAAGTGTTTAGAGGTAAAGAGATACTGTAATCTGCAAGTTATTCTCAAAGATTTTATTGAAAAAAATATATATTCAGAGGGAGAGAGGAGGAGAGAGAGAGTGAATTCCAGAATAGTAAAACAAATATGGCAAAAAATGGTAACATTTGGGAAAGGTGAAAGGTATATAAAAAGCCTTTGTATTATTCTTGCAACTTTTTATTTTATTTTTAAAGATTTATTTATTTATTCATGATAGAGAGAGAGAGAGAGAGAGAGAGAGGGGCAGAGACACAGCTCCCGGCTCCATGCCAGGAGCCTGATGTGGGACTTGATCCCAAGACCCCAGGATTGCGCCCTGGGCCAAAGGCAGGCGCTAAACCGCTGAGCCACCCAGGGACCACTTCTTGCAACTTTAAAAAAAATTATTTATTTATTCATGAGAGACACACAGAGAGAGGCAGAGACACAGGCAGAGGGAGAAGCAGGCTCCCTGTGTGGAGCCCGATGTGGGACCCGATCCCAGGGTCCTGGGATCACACCCTGAGCCAAAGACAGGCACTCAACCACTGAGCCACCCAAGCATCCCTATTCTTGCAACTTTTAAGTCTGAAATTATTTCAAAATAAAGTTTAAAAATGAAATAAACAGGACCACTTTGGACAGTGATAATTGCTATTAGGAAAATAAAACATGGTAATATTACAAAGAGTATCTGGGGTGGAGTGGGGAGGACCTTGCAGAGTAGTGCTTAAATTGAGAAGTTGGAGAAATTAACACATGAGCCTAGGCCTACATTACAAGCGGGACCTGAAGGTCTGAAAGCTTCCCTATCCTGTTCTGGGTAGGTTGTTTTCCTGTGTTGTGTGTTTTAATTATTATTTATTTATTTGACAGAGAGAGTGAGAGAGAGAGAGAGAGAGAGAGAGAGAGAGAGAGAACACGAGCCGGAGGGAGAGGGAGAGGCAGAGGCAGAGGGAGAAGCAGACTCTCTGCTGAGCAGGGAACCAACATGGGACTCGATCCCAGGACCCTGAGATCATGACCTGAGTGAGCCAAAGGCAGATGCTAAAGCATCTGACTGAGCCCACCCAAGTGCCCCCCTTCATAGGTTGTTTTTGAAACAAGCATTTTCTTTTAAGATTTTATTTATTTATTCATGAGAGGCACATAGAGAGAGGCAGAGACACAGGCAGAGGGAGAAGCAGGCTCCATGCAGGGAGCCCGACGTGGGACTCAATCCCGGGACTCCAGGATCACACCCTGAGACAAATGTAGGCGCTTAACCGCTGAGACACCCAGCCGTCCCCTGAAGAGCATTTTTGATATTTGGTGAAAAAAGAGGTAAGAATAGGGGCCAGCTTTAAAATTCAATTATCAGTCAATTAATGATGAAATACATTTAGAAATTTAATTTTAAAAAATCACCCCTTGGTTTCTCAGGGACTATGGGTATCTAACTAGTAAAAAAGTTTTAAAGAACCATCAGGAATGTCTCGACAGCTTGGCCGCCTGAAGCAGTGTGATGGTAATACAGAAAGAATAGAAACTTTGGAATTAAAACAAATTTAGGCCTCACCTTGAAAACTTGTTAACACCTCTGAACCAACTGCCTTCTTTTTGAAAATGGGAATACCACCCCCGTTAGCATGAGAATTTGAGCACAAGTATGCAAGTGCTTGGCAAATGCCTGAATCATAGCAAGGACTCAGGAAAGGGTAGCCTAAACCTAAGGAATAAAAAACAAAGCTACATCAAATTTCCCCTACTTCTTCTAGCCCTGATTACATGCTTCATCCTTACTTCTACACCAGGCTTTGTCAACCTTGGCACCACTGACATTTTGGGCCAGATAACTGGAAGCTTAGCAGCATTCTTGACTTCAACCTACTAGATGTCAATAGCACTGCCTGAGCTGTGAAAATCAAAATTGTCTCAGCACATTGCTAAATGTCCCCTGTAGCACAAAACTCCTCCCCCTCGAGAACCAGTAATTTACAGAGATCATTAAAATGTGGGAACAACATTTAATAGGGCTAACCAAAACAAACCACCTTATTTTTCCCAGTCTCCTGAAAGTCAGTGATAGGAGAGAGGGAAGTGTTTCATGCCACATAAAGAACCTATTTCCTTTATGAAAGGGTCTCTACTGTTGCAGAATTCTGACTACCTATATAAACGGAGACTGGATAAATAACATTTACAAGCTTCAGTTTCCTCAGATGACTATTACAAGAAGTAAATGCATAATATAAGTAAAGTACTGAGCACAGTGTCTGGCATATGGTAAGCACTCAATACAAGATATTCTCATTATAATTGAGGTACTCCTTCTATCTCTGGGCTTTCAGGTCCCACTTACAACCTCTTTTCCAAAATTCCTCATTCTGTACATATATTTTTTTCTACTACCAACTTTATTTTTTTTTAAAGATTTTATTCATTTATTCTTGAGAGACACAGGCAGAGGGAGAAGCAGGTTCCATGCAGGGAGCCCGAAGTGGGACCTGATCCCAGGACACCAGGATCACGCCCTGAGCTGAAGGCAGATGCTCAACCACTGAGCCACCCAGGAGTCCCTACTCCCAACTTTAAAGTGGTCCTAACCTTTCTTTATAGAGAACTGGAGTGTAAGCCAAGTGCCTAAAGCACCAAGAGACTTTGAAAATGAATTCTAAAAATCTTCCCTAACTGCTATTACAGGATATATGTATGCAAATTAGAGTCAGGAAACATATTATTTATGTAAAAAGTGAATAAAATTAATTAGAATAAAGAAAGAAAAATGGCACTAATTTAATTTCCAATAGGGCACAACTATTTCTGCAACTCCTACTAATTAGTTCAGTATAAAAAAAAAAATGAGAACTCTTCAATTGAATGAGATCCATTTGAGAAATTCTCTTTAAATTCAGGGTATTTTGGGAAGCCTGGGTGGCTCAGCAGTTGGGTGTCTGCCTTTGGCTTGGGGTGTGATCCCGGGGTCCCGGGATCGAGTGTCACATCGGGCTTCCTGCAGGGAGCCTGCTTCTCTCTCTGCCTATGTCTCTGCCTCTCTCTCTGTGTCTCTCATGAATAAAAATAAAATCTTAAAAAATAATTAAAAATAAATTCAGGGTATTTTTATGTTAAAGTGTAGACATTTCTAAAATAATTTACTAAAGACAATTTATAAACGACCATCTATGATGATCAAATGCTACCTAGATGAAGTTATCATAATTTTTGAAGAATCAAAGATTAAACATAAATCAGAACTCCTGGAAAAATGACTGAGAATCTACAAAATGAAATTTCAGAAAGTCATTACTATGTGAAAGAATGATTGATGCCACTCTATGCAGAAATGAAATAAAAATGTTTTTATAACCCACCTGTAGTTTCTGAGTCAAAGAATCCCTCTGTTCTTGTAGTTCTCTGGCATTATCAATTTCTTGTTTTAATCTTTCTATTTCCTAGAAAAAGTAGAGCAATGTCTTTAGCAACAATATTTAAACTAAATCAAGGAAAGAAAAGGTCTTACTTCTCCCTGAAATTACTGTCCAAGTTCTTAGAAAAAAAATTTTTAAAAACATTCCTTTATGCTGATTTTTTTGAGAGGTGAATTTGTCTTTTTGGGAATGTTTTCTAGTACATGATAATCTTCAGCAATACGTCTACTTGTGGCTGTGGTACAGCACTGCTTAGAAACAGTAATCACAACATTTTAAGACTGCTTCAAGCTTTGTGGATATAATTCTTTCTTGGGATATTAAATCTTATGACTGGAAACCAGAGAAAGCAATAGTTTGGAAAATTCATTTAAACCTTTCACGGTTTTCTTTGGATTTTATGAATGTAACTTTCATACAGAAGGCAAGAGACCTTCAGGCTGACTGCCTCACCATAGTTCCTAACTGCAGAAACAAGGATGGAGAAGATATGGACACATATCAATCAAAAAAAATTTCATTCCCCCCACCCCCGCCACAACATCCCACAAGCTTATTTTATTCCATCAAGTATCTGTAAATCTGACAGAGACTCAAATATTTTGTACATATATGCTAGCCAGATTACACAGATGAGTGAAAAGTAGCAAATACCTCTTCCTTCACTTTCAGCGTCTCTTCCAGTTCTTGTATTGTTTGATTTAATTCTGTCTTATGAGTATGCACTGCATTAGCTTGGCTACTAACACATTCAAGCTCAGTCACCTGAAATGAAATGTAAATACAGGTTAAGTTATACGACTATGTCAAAAGATTTCTTGCCAAAAATATAATAAACCCCTGATAGGTAAATCATAAATTTGAAACAACACATGAAAATCAATTTTGAGGGGATCCCTGGGTGGCTCAGTGGTTTGGCACCTGCCTTTGGCTCAGGGCGCGATCCTGGAGTCCCGGGATCGAGTCCCGCATCAGGGTCCTGGCATGGAGCCTGCTTCTCCCTTCTCCTGTGTCTCTGCCTCTCTCTCTCTCTCTCTCTATGTCTATCATAAATAATAAATAAATAAATATTTAAAAAAATCAATTTTGAGATATATTAAGACACTTAAGGTAGAATGAATAGATTCTTTAAGGACATGAATTTAGGACAAAGAAAAAAGACTAGGGGAAATAATTATTCATATGGCTTGCTCATGGAAAGAGCTAGGAAACTTAATTGATTAATGACAGTTAAGAAATCCTATTATGAAAGGCTTCTTTAAAAATTTCTTATCAAAACATATTCAAAATCAGCTATAACCATCTGCCTTCCATCTGTAGCTTTCAAATTAAACATGGCTTCTGAAAACTGGCCTTGCAGAAGTGAGAAATTTTTTAAATATATTTCCAAATTGTAAGAGAATCTGGAAGAAAAGATATGCTTAAAATACAACTTAAATCATTCAATACTAGAATGACTTCACATCAATAGTGTCTCTGTAGCCAAAGACAACATTCTTTAGTCAATAAGAATGTACTAAGGGCCCAAAGAGCTACGTAACTTGTAATGAGCACTTTAAGAGAACAGCAAAGGGCAGTAGCCCTAAAAGTTATACCATCCAAAAACACTATTGGACCAACAGTCAAGATAGAAGTCAACATAAAAACAGACACACATATCCCATCACAGCCCTTCACATGCATTAGGATCTTATACATTTTGGCTGACTAGAATGCAGTAAGTTCTAGACCATTAGGGAAACAGTAAATCCACTTTCACATTTTCCAAATATATACTAACCCTCCATAAATGTCACTCTACCTTTCCTAACACTTTCTTCCCTTCTATAGTCTTGTGCAGACCCTTATCATGTAGGCCTAGATTATAGCAACGGACCACCAGAGGACATAATTATATAATTTCTGTCTATTTTTACCTCTCCTGTAAACTAACATTCATCTATCATTGTGTAACTCCTCCATTCAAAGCCATTCAAAGGATCATTTCTTACAACCCTCGGGTCTTGCAGATACCAGCCCTAAACAATTTAACCATCCTCATCACCCAAGACACTCACACTAAGTTATATGTGGTTTTTCCAACTAAAGGTAGGCAAGTCTCCTCATCCTAAGAATAAACCACTCTCACACCCATCTTGCTGACTTCACTAGAATGTCCACTCTTACTGCTGAAGCCAATCAGACATTACCAAACCTTCAGCTCTCAGCTCAGCATGTACTTTCAACAGAAAATCATTCCTTAATCTACTTAATCCCTCTAGGCTCTCCTGTCCTGTGGTCCACAAAACAAAACATATTCAAAATCTTGGGAATTATTTCCTTATTATTCAATATATATGACTTTTCTTTGTCCAATTGGACAATCAATTGCTTATGGGGAGAGTTCCATTTCTGATAATGATGGAGTACTTTTTACTGGAAAAACTTTTCTATAGATAAAAACTGCAAATCATGACCAAAATGTAAAATTCAACTGTTTGAATGCCCTGATAAGTGACCAAATAGAGCAAAAGACAGAAAGAAAGCAGTAACATTGGGTGAGATACACATTTACACATCATTTTGCTTGAAGGCACTCTAGTCTGGCTCCATTGCTTGACTAGAAGTTAAGCTGAAACCTGTGGTCTTATTTCCCTGAGGAGCCTGAGGATCTGGGGACTCCTTAGAACAGCTGAAACAGCTAGAAATTGAGAGAACTGTATGAATAGAGTCCCCAAATAAACATACAGACTTCCTTCAAATCTTTGGCTGACCCTTGAACTACACGTGCACAGATAAGAATCCAAGGAGTCCAGCATGGTGGGGTTGGGAGGAGGTGGAAGGCTGTAAGAGTTAAGCTGTGGTAGTGCTCACCACAGAGAGAAGAGTGTGATGTTCGAGTCCCACTAAATCAGAGGACGTTGGTAATTACCTCAAGCTTTCCACTGAAAGCACCAGAAGGATTATGTCTTAGAAATAAAGATTTCCCAGGACTAGGGAATTCACCATAGGGTTAAGGGCAAAATTAATATAAATGGACTTTCATGAAGGCTAAGTCCACACTTTCACAATTGCAAGTAAATCTGTAAATAAGTTTAATTAACTGCTTGCTCAAAAATCAACCTCATTCAGAGTAAGATAAGAGAATCTATGGGGTGTATATTGTCTAATTTAAAATGTCTAACATACAACTGAAAATGAATAGACATGTAAAAAAAACAGGAAAACACAAAAGCTGCCCCTACACCCCTCTGGCCCAAACTGCAAAGGAAGTCAGGCTAAAGGGAAATGATAACTGCTGGAAATTCAGATCTACAAGAAGCAAAGAAGAGCACTGAAAATTATAAATATGTAAATAAATAGATTTCATTTCTCAAATCTCTAAAATTCAATTCATTCTATAAACCAAAATTTCCTTAAGGGCAAAAATTACAGAATAAGGGGATTATACTAGCTCTTTAGTGACTACTGGCTCGTGAGTTAACTGTCATGGATTAAGTTTTTCTTTAAAAGATTTTATTTATTTATTCATGAGAGATAGACGGGGGGTGGGGGGGTGCAGAGACACAGGCAGAGGGAGAAGCAGGCTCCATGCAAGGAGCCTGACGTAGGACTCGATCCCGGGTCTCCAGGATCACGCCCTGGGCTGAGGGTGGCGCTAAACTGCTGAGCCACCCAGGCTGCCTGGATTAATTTTTTTATTGTAGTGAAGAACACATAATAAAATATAACACCTTAACCACTTTTAAATGTACAATTTAGTAGTGTTAAGTATGCTTTACACTGTTGTGAAAAAGATCTCCAGAACTTTGTCATCTTGCAAAATGGAAACTCTATACTATTAAACAACTTCCTTCTTCCTTCTCATAAGTTCACCTTTATACATATAATAGGATGACATTTACTCAGGTTTCTTACTCTCCCTCCCTGTCTCTATTTCATTTCTATATTACTTCTCATGTCATCCTTATCCTACTACTTCCTCAAATTGTGCTCTGGTAGTAAGCCCATTTCTTATTGTCTATGAAGTTCATTTCTTTGGCATCCTTCCTAAAAAAGGAAATTAGTGGCATCTACTTCATTTTGGGTAAATGCAAATGCTTTAAACACAAAAAAATTTTTCACAAGTAATTGTTTGGGCTACTAATATAACTCACACTGGAATTTCTGATTTTCTTTTCCTGTATGAAGTTTCAAATACAGGTGCCCCCCACTTTCTTAAGTTTGCATTATGCCACTTCATAAAGGATCTGTATTAGTATGGTAATAGTTTTTCGGGGCAAAACTAAAAATCATCCTCAGATTTGTAAGTTAGCAAAAACACACTAATGTAGGTCTTTTGTAAAAACAAACTGACATAATGTGAACTTCTGGAAAGTAGGGAATACTCTTCACTTTATACCACTTTGGCTTAGGAAAGGTTTCACAAGAATGCTTTATTTTTGGATAGTGAGGAAAACCTCACTATCCACTATCCTCATTGTATAAGCAATTTTTATTTTATTATTTATTAATAAATTTATTTTTTATTGGTGTTCAATTTGCCAACATACAGAATAACACCCAGTGCTCATCCCGTCAAGTGCCCCCCTCAGTGCCCTCCTTCCCTTCCACCACCCCTAGTTCGTTTCCCAGAGTTAGGAGTCTTCATGTTCTGTCTCCCTTTCTGATATTTCCTACCCATTTCTTCTCCCTTCCCTTGTATAAGCAATTTTTATAAAGAATGTTTTACCTATGTTTTTAAGTTGTTCCTTCTTTAACAAACAATAAAAATAATAAAAGCATCTATCATCAACTAAGTGCAAACTTGTTGATTCATTTTCTCAATTCTACAGACTATATATTATTATTCTTATTTTATAGATGAGAATACTGAGCAGAAAGGGATACCTTACCAAAGGTCACAACAGTCACTTACTGTCAAACTAAGTGACAGAATAGAAAAATATTTTTTTATTTTTATTTTTTTTAAGATTTTATTTATTTATTCATGAGAGACACAAAGAAAGAGAGAGAGAGAGAGAGAGAGAGAGAGAGAGAGAGAGAGAGACACAAAGTGGCAGAGACACAGGCAGAGGGAGAAGAAGCAGGCTCCCTGCAGACAGTCTGACGTGGGACTCAATCCGGGGTCCCCAGGACCACACCCTGGGCAGAAGGCGGCGCTAAACCACTGAGCCACCCGGGCTGCCCTATATATATATGTTCTAACAATCAATGAGTATCTCCAGATGTCCTTCTGCTGAATCTACTGAGTTTCTGCTGATCAGGGAAATCTGTCAGCCATAAATTTCTATGGACAGCAGTAGCTCTGAACTTACTCGCTTGTGCAGACGTTCTGCTTCCTCCTGATATGCAGCAAGTTGCTGTTTCCATTGTTTCACATTGGCAGTGGACTCCAACAGGGCTGCAGTGAGTTTGGCATTATTTCCTTTGAGGGTAGCCAGTTCAGCCTCCCAATGTTTGCTGATTGCTGAACTAAAAGAAAAGAAAATTCTATCAATTACACTGAATATTGTCACTTTGAAGGTATAGCAGTACTTGCTTCTACTGATTTTATACTCTACAAATGTTTCAAAGATAACTCAAAAAGAATAAATACAAATATTTCACTGAAAGGTTCCTGCTGAAGAAAACCTAGCAAGTGAAGAAATATAAAAAGTACCAAAGTAGTAGATTTAATGTAGACTAGCTCCCATCTTCATTAGGACAGGTACAGATATCTAAGGAAGAGTTTCTATCCTTTCTTTTTTGAGGAATAAACATTATATCCTGAAAAATATCTATACTCAAAACCTAATAATGTACTGTGTATTTAATCTGAGGTGGGTATTATTCAAAATTTATTTTTTAAAATTTATTTTTATTTACTTTCTTTAAAGATTTTATTTATTTGAGAGAGAGAGAGTGCGCGCGAGAGAGAGAGCATGCACACAAGCAGGGGAGGGGCAGAGGGAGAAGCAGGCTCCTCCCTGAGCAGAGAGTCCAACATGGGGCTCAATCTCAGGACCCTGGGATCATGACCTGGGTCGAAGGCAGACACTTAACCAACTGAGCCACCCATGCGTTCTTCCAAATTTTTAATCTTTAATAAAAATATAGTTGACATATAATACTATATTAGTTTTGGTATATAACAAAGTGATGTGATAATTATAAATCACGAAATGTTCACTATGATAAGTAAAGTGTCAATATACAAAGTTATAATCATATTATTCACTGTTATTTCCTAATCTGTACTTTTCATCCCTGTTATTTACTTTTTAATTAGAAGTTTGCTCTAAATCCCTTTAATCACCTATTTTTGCCTCACTCCCTTTCTCTCTTGTAACCAGAGAGACCAATTTGCTCTCTGTACTTATGAGTCCATTTGTTTGTTTCTGTTTTAGATTCCACATATACTTGAAATCCTATGGTAGTTTGTTGTTCCCTAGAGGGTATTTTGCTATGTAAAATACCCTCTAGGCCCATCCATGTTGTTGCAAACGGCAAGATTTCATTTTTTTTTACAGCTGAATAATATTCCATTGTAATATATATACACACCACATCTTTATCCATTCATCTATTGATGGATGTTGGGCTGCTTCCCTATCTTGGCTATTGCAAATACTGCTGCAATAAACCTACGGGTGCATGTATCTTTTAGAATTAGTATTTTTATTTTCTTTAGGTAAATAACCAGAAGTGAAATTAATGGATCATATGGTATTTCTATTTTTAATTTCTGAGGAACATCCATACTTGTTTTCCACAGTGGCTGCACCAAATGCACTGTATTTTTTTAAGTGCATCAAATCCTGAAAGTACAATTTCATTCCTTTGTAAAACATGAAGATGCTTCAATGTCAGAAAGTTTGGGACATGTAATGTAGTATTTCTTCTGAAACTGCTACTGATTTATTTCACGTTACTCATAATTTTGAAATGCCCAAAATATTAAAAAATTGTTACAATGAATCTATTTCAGGGGCACCTAGGTGGCTTAGTGGTTGAGCATCTGCCTTTGGATCGTGGCATGATCCCAGGGTCCTGGGACTGAGTCCCACATTGGGCTCCTCACGGGGAGCCTGCTTCTCTGCCCTGTATCTCTGCTTTTCTCTCAGGGTCTCTCATAATAAAAACATAAAATCTAAAAAATAAAAAATAAAAATAAATTCTATTTCAGGTATTTTCTCAGGGTCTCTCATAATAAAAACATAAAATCTAAAAAATAAAAAATAAAAATAAATTCTATTTCAGGTATTATAACAGGCTACACCTAGAAATAGTTCCCTATGACTTAATTTCTGACAGAATTTCAGTATCACATATAGAACAAAAAAGAACTAAAAGCAATAACCTATTGGTTCATTTACTATTCTACTTGATAAGCTATCCAAAGTTAATTGCCTCAACCAAGACAATTTTTCTATTATAAAGACAATTCTATTAATTGGGAAGACTCCTCTCTTCATAATTCCTTCACTAACTGTCCCTATAAGAAAGGACTGCCTCATTTGAAAGAAAAAGATGTTTTTTTCTTAAACAAACAAACCAGATTTATTTGAGAGAGAGAAAACATGGCAGGGGCGGGGGAAGGAGAGAGAGAATCCCAAGAAGCTGGGCATGGGGCTTGATTATAGGACCCTGAGATCAGGACCTGAGCTGAAATCAAGAGTAGGACAGTTAACTGAATGAGCCACCCAGGTGCTCTGGACTGATATTTTTAATAGTAATTTTACTTTATTTTTTAAAAAGATTTTATTTATTTATTCATGAGAGACACACACACAGAAAGAGAGGCAGAGACACAGGCAGAGGGAGAAGCAGGCTCCATGTAGGGAGCCTGACGTGGGACTCGATCCTGGGTCTCCAGGATCACACCCTGGCCAAAGGCGGCGCTAAACTGCTGAGCCACCAGGGCTGCCCATAGTAATTTTAATATGTATTATATAAAAGAAAGCAAAAAAAAAAAAAAAAAAAAAGAAAGAAAGCATAGCTCCTATCATCAAGATTTCTAAAGCTCATTACTAATGATGAGATGTATGTGCATCATAAGCCCTCTAATATGATGCATAGGGAAAGAAGATATAAATTTTTTTAGATTTAATTTTTTAAAGATTTTATTTATTTGAAAGAGAAAGCAGGAGCAGGAGGGAGGAGCAGAGGAAGAGGGAGAAGCAAACTCCCCATTGAGCAGGGAGCCCCATGCAGGACTCAATCCCAGGACACTGGGATTGTGAATTGAGCTGAAGGCAGATGCTTAACCAACTGAGCCATCCAGGTGCCCAACACAAGATAATTTCTATGATATTCTTGTCAAAAATGCATAACCTCATTCTAAGCATGAGAAAACATAAACTCAAACTGAGGGACGTTCTACAAAATAACTGGATGGTACTCTTCCAAAGTGTCAAGAGAAGACAAAACTCAGAAACAGAATGGTGGAGAATAAGAAGAAAGAATTAAATGCAAACAGATAGGTTCCTAGAACAGAAAGGGACAATGATGAAAACAAGTCTCCAGTTTATTAGTAGTATTGTATTGATATTAATTTGATAATTATTATGTTATGGAAGATGCTAACAGTAAGGGAAGTGGGGTGAGGAATTCTCTACATAGTTTTTGTAACTTTCTATAAATCTATTAGTTTCAAATAAAAAGTTTTAAAAATTTTCTAAAGTTTACTAAGTGAGAAAATTTCATCTAAACATGAAAGGACAAAATCAAACAATAAGCTAAGCTATTAATTTAACAACTCACTTCTATTCTTGAAAACTCTTTTCTATTCCGTCTTTTGTGGAATGATTTTCCAAATTCAGTTTTTCTGAGCAAAGCATGCACCTGTTCTAACTTACAGATTTTTTAAAAAACCACCTACCATTTTTCTCCTATAGAGATGAGTTTTATTTAAATAGACCCTTCAATCTGACAACTAAAACCTTATTGAACTAATTTAAACACTTGACATATGCAAATATCAAACTCTTGGGGGCATCTTTTGTTACATTTGGTTTTTTGTCCTCAAAAATCACTCAGAATCACCTCAGAAATCACTTTATAAAGGTTTAAATGGATATCTTGTTACTCAAAACAAAGCCTTTTCAACTACAAATGAGTTTACATTAATGAAGTGACTTTTAGAATCCCCCCAAAGATGTGGGGGCTGGCTGCCAGGTGAACCAACCTTGATTATAGGGTTAAAAACTTTCAGTCCCAACCCCTGGCCTCCAGGGAGGGGAAAGGGACTGGAAGTTGAATCAGTCACTAATGGCCCATGAGTCTATCAATCATATCTGTGTCATAAAGCCTCCATAAAACCGCAAAAGAATGGGTTTCCAAGAGCTTCCATGTTGGTGACCCAGAAAGCATTTAAGTGCTAGGCCCCAAACTCCACAGGGAAAAAGCTCCTGCTTTCAGGATCTTGCCCCATGCATCATTTCACCCGGCTGTTCATTCATATCTTATATAATAAACTGGTTATCTAGTAAGTAAAACTAGTTTCCCAAGTTCTGTGAGCCAACTCTAGCAAATTAATCAAACTAGGGAGGGAGTTGTGAGATGCTCTAATTTATAGCCAATCAGAAGCTTAGGTAACAAATCAGACTTGAGACTGGCATCTGAAGAGGAAGCAGTATCATGGGATTGAATGCTTAGTCTGTGAAGTCAGAAGCTAACTCCAGGTAGTTAGTGTAAGAATTGAGTTAAATTTGGGGGACACTCAATCAGCATTCATGGAAAGTGAGTTAATTGCTTGGTGGTATCAATCTGTCTATCTTCCTGGATTGTCTATCTTCACCGCGCATGCAGTGTATCTCCTGTTCTAGTCAAGCTAGCTTGCCTGTGATGGTTTTTTCCTCCCAATCAGATTTTCATTTTGCTTCCTATGAATTTTTGCCCTAAATTTTCTATCATCAGCATCAATTTACAAGATCGCATTCTTCCCTTTCACAGATCCAGGTCTTCTCCAACAAGTATTTTCTAGTTACACCACCTATCCTTCGGCTATGAGGACAGCCCAGTGCTTGCCAATCTGTGTGAGTTTAGCTAACACACTGACTACCTAAATGAAAAAGTACAGGTATTCATTAGGGTAAAATGTGTCCTTTATGAAGTACAAAAGCAACTCAGGATTAACTTAATTAAAATAATGAATAGTAAATGTTTTAACTATTAAATTTTAATTAAGTTTTCAATACTAATATAATTCTTAAATATAAGAATTCTGAATTTCACATTTGGGATGGGATTTCACACTAGCCTTGATTAAGAATCTATCGTTTCTTGATTTCTACTCTAAATCAATCAATCCAGCATACAAAATACAAGAGATTTCAGGTACAAAATATAGACCTTGAACTTGGAGAATCTACAAAGGACCTGTTCAGGAAAATGTTAGTATTCCTAAACAGGATGCCTGTTTTGGTATAATTTAGAAATCAGTATCATTTGAACAATCAAAATTAGAAATCAAGAATTTTTCAGACAAACAA